GTATAACAAAAAATCAGGCTCTCCCTGAATGAGGATCTCCAGCAGCCCCATCGCCCTCCCGGGTGGGCTCTTTTCAAGATAGCAGAGCTATACCGTCCCGCTGAAGGCTGACTTATCCTTCGTTCGCATCACTTCGATATCATGATATCTAAATATCATTTAGCAGTGAAAATACAATGAGACCCGATTAAGAGACTAATCGAGTTACAGGAAACAGCCCTGGGATGCGCCTTGTGTAAAATTGAGAGGTGAGTGTACCACCACTGCACCAAAGCAATCACATCATCAGTGACTTACCTGGCGAAATGAACTGTTTGACTGTATAAGCACCATATTAACGAAAATAGAATTACTCGTGACCACAGGCAGGATCGGCAAAACGGACACGCACTTAGGATTTATCGCCGCCCTATCGAACAACAACTAAGCGTCCCTTATAGGCATTCGTCGCTAGATGCTTTCATTCAAGCGGACGGCAATACTAGAAACTTCTACGGCTGGCACCCTCCTCACTCACAGGAGCGTAGTGAATGTGGGAGAATCCTCTGAGTCTGGGATGAACTCTTGCACAAGAGTGGACGATCACGAATTGCTTGAGTTCGGGTCTGTCTTCAAAATGCTGAAAGGAGGACCTACCATTCCTGACATCAGACGAGGGAGAGTTATTGTACTCGATATCGGCCACTTTTTCACCTTTTGCGACCTTCTGGCGGAAGGCGTTGTGGCCAGCGTAGAACACAGCCCGCATCGTTGACAGCGAATCGTCACGTGTCATAGGACATTTCGGAAGTACTCCTCAACAAATACAATTCTCACAAATATGCCCGTTCAATGAATCCTTAGCTTTCAGCAAAGTGGCTCACTCAAATGGTGACGATGGTTGGAGCATAATTAAATATGTTGCCAGAGCATGCAGGTAGTAGGAACACAACCTTAACATCTTTTTTGAATATTGTCAATTGAAACTGAAGAGAGCTTACAGTCGTTGCTGACACGTGCGCATCCACGCGTCAGGTGAGCTGCGTTTTGCAAGGCGTCGTTTTCCAAAAAATTGGCACTCGAGGACAGTCGGTAAAGAAAAGCATATAGCAGATCCCAGTCCACCTGACATGTTTCCGCAGCCAAAACGCCTATACATCCTCACTGACGTTGAGTTCTTGTCGTGTTGATAAAACTCCGAAGATCTCTATGTGATTGGAGGCAGAGTAGTGTGATGGTTACGTTCACCACGCGCGCGGTCTGGGGACAAATCGCGAATGCACCCTGCCAGACAGATTTAATTGTAGGAAAGACTTCTAGTGCTAGACTGGGACCACCAGTTCCAGCTTGCACTAGAAGCCTTTTACTCTAAGAGGATGTTTGCACATCTCTCGCCTATCACCAGCGCGGTCCCGTGTTTAGATGCGGATCAACTCTCGCCAGTCAACCAAGCGCTCTCCTCTCCGGGTACGTTAATGTGGTACCACATTCGTTAGGGAGGATGAAACACTGACTTGCACATCGGCTGGCGCTCATAACTCATTCTATAGGCCACATCACATTCAATAAGCCCTTTACGATTCTGAATGGAAGTAGAATGCGTGCCGCATTGGAAAAGGGATCGATCAACGGCGAACAGTTTACTATCTTTCCCTTTATCCACACGCGCTTCGTGACCTCTACTGAATAGCGAAGCGAATGAAGTACAAAAACGTAACATACCAGAGCGACTAATTTTGCAGAAGTCATCGTTCTCGGGATATGAGATGACACCCTGAGCACATCCGGCGTCCTTTTATTAGCAGCCTGTCAGTAATAACTACACCAAAGTACGCACGTAAACATCATAAATTGACAGGAGATACATAGCAAAAACATTTCCATGATAATAACCAATTGGGTTACGAACATTCCCAGCACAGAAAGCCCTGCACGGTGACGCTTACTACTGGATGATCAATTTCACGCGCGCGGTTGAAGGGTGAACTCTCCCTCCCCGCTCGTACACAGGGAGAACCCTTACTCTGAAGTAAAATATAACCCTAGCTCCAGCAGAACGCGCTAGCATATTTCGCGTAATGGAGTGTGCTGCGGAAATTGAGGTAGTCGGACTAGCGAAATCTGCCTTACGCATGGCATCAGAAAGACGTTTCAACTAACAACAACAATCCTAACAATCCTGTCAGAATCACGAACAGCAAGCGATGTTTCTCAGCTTTGAGAGAGCTCCTTCAGTCTGAAAAAAAACAATCAAACCTGCTCAATTATCCGACAAGACACCTGCCACCTGTGCTCAAGCTGAACATCGAGTTCCTCGAGCGGGCGCCAGTAACGTGTCCATTCGTCCCTGCGACGTGCGTGCTCTCTGCTCGAGGGACACGATGAACTTCATAACCATTCGTTCAGAGCTTTCACGAAGAAGTCTGACCATAGCGTAGGCGGTCGTCCAGGTGTTCGCTTGACATCCCGTGGAATCCAGTCGGTAATCGCTGTGGTCCAGATTTCGTCCTAGAACGCATGACGAGCCACCTTATCTTCAAAACCTTGACAAATGCGGTGGCGTCTCTGATCTTCGATCGTCGGCGGATCTCTCAGTTGCAGGTGGCGGGGACCTCCGAGCATCGCCCTTCAGATGGCGTGTTGAATGACGCCAACAGCATGCTAATCCTGCCACGTAGAGTCTAAGTCTCTGAGGCATAAGTCAAACAGGAAGGACCGCGGAATCGAAGAGGTGGGCACGGAGCTTGGTGTTCTTCGTCTTCTTCGCTACTCCCTCGATGTTCTTGAAGGCTCCCCAAGCCGCTCGCTCCTCCTGCTCAGCTCTGGTGCTAAGTCACCGTCGTATTGAATTCACGACCATACCACACATAACTGGAGGATTTCGGGGATGGTCTCCTTTGAGCGTAAATTGGGCATCAGTTTCTAATTCCGCTGTAGACCGATTTTTCCACACGCGCAGTCGAAATCAGCCAGCATTCGTTCCGCTTGCTCGATGTTTGGTGTTATCAAAACGATGTCGTCAGCAAAGCGGAGATGGTGTAGTTGCCGACCGTCGATCTTCACTCCCATGTCTTCCCATTCCAGTTGACGCATGACGTTCTCGAGAGAGGCGCTGAAGAGCTTGGGCGAGATGGTGTCGCCCTGTCGGACCTCTCTCTCACGTCGATGATGATCTCCTTGTAGTGGTAAAATCCCGGTCCTGGAGATGCTGTAAAGCACACGAAGAATCTGATGTACTGAGTAGGAATACCCTGGTTGCCCAGGGCTTCGATAACCGCTTCTGTCTCAACGGAGTCGAAGGCTTTCTTCAAGTCGATGAACGTGAGACATAACGGCATCTTGTACTCTCGCGATACTTCGATGAGCTTCGTTACCGTGTGTATGTAATCGATCGTGCTGAATCCTCTTCTGGATTGTGGACGTGACTGTCAAAGAGATCAGAGAGGAAGTCGTAGATGATTTTTCATTGCCCCTTCTGGATGCGGTGATTGTTCCATCCGGACGTCGGAGGGCGGTCATCTTGGTCTTACAGTTGGCGAAGTCGCGGCGGGCGTTGCGTATGCTCTTCCCAGCCTCTGCGGCTTCCACCAGTACTGCTGCTCTTCTCTCCTTGAGGTCTTCCTTTATCGCTTCTCTGCATAGCTTCGCAAGCTCAGACGTCAGCTGGTGCGGCTCGTGCGGCTCCACGTTGGCGAATCAGCTAGAGAGTTTCCAGAGATAAACGTTTCTTGGTAATCTTGTAAGTCTCTGAGTGCGACAAGCCGTTCGTATTGTTCGTGAATGTTGTCAATGACGGAATCTTCCCAGAGCCCAGAGAGAAGTGACGCCCAATTGATGACGGTCTTGGGGCTTCGCTTCTTGAACTTTGCGGCTCTCTCTCCTCGCATCGAAAAGCGGAATCTTGCGCGGAAGACGGTGATCGGATCCCGTGTAGAACTTAGGAGCAACAGCGACGTCGTTCAGGCAAAACCTTCAATGGTCGCTCATTATGGAATTGTCCACCAGGAAACTCCCATAACCAGTGTAGAGAGTAGGGCTTTTGGAACTGCGAATTACTGATGGTATGGATCCACATGAGAAACTCAAATAGTCTTTCACCCTGCTCATCTCACTCTATTTCGTGAGTTCCGATGTGATGTTCCCCAGCTGTCTGTCTGCCTCTCTGCGGCTAATCTAGTCTCCCCAACTTGACCAATTAATCGCAGGAGACCTTCATGCACACATATAAACAAGGCAAACATCACAAACATCATGGCACTTAGAAGGGAACCCCACGTTTGCGCTCCTGCTCGAATGCTCGCAAAACAAATATGCAGGGATTTTCACGTTTACCGAGGTTATGTTCCATTCGGAAAAACAAAATTTGACGATCAGTTCGTTCCCGGGACAGAATTTTGGAGATCACTGCTATGCGGCATGCCCTGCCCCTCTGATATTGAACCGGTTTTCCGAGTTTCTAATGCTTTGCGATCTATCCTAAGACGATCACACCTGTCTGACGTTTGCTCCCTTCTTCCATTTCTCTTTTACATCTCTCGAGGAGCCTGTGTTGTTCCCAAAGCATTAGAAAAAAACCATTCTTAAATTATAGTGGCAGCGGCATGCCGCATGCCAATAATCCTCGAAGTATTTCGGAAAAGCATTCTAAAGCATACTATCTGAGCAAAACAAAGCCTTCCATATGCCCAATTCGAAAAATGCATGTTAAAACTTTTGGAGTGGTGACCGTTCCCCTCAATTGATAGAAGGGTGTAGGCCTCAACTGTTACTGTGTTGAGCTGATTCTTTGATTGTCGGTAGCTGCCATTATAACGTTCTTTCGTGGTCTGATGCTGAACCTGAAGTAGTGAATAGCATCGAGCTAGACGCTTTTTTTGCGGCCCAACCAGAGAACGTCGCCGCTTGTCATGAAAAAAAATTGTTTCTTATCTTGCGACATATTACCTCGTTGAGTAGTTTGCAATTTCTGCCCGTGCTCGACGACAGACCGTACGATCGTGTGTTTCGGATTGTGACGTTCAATTAAACCGTCACCTATGTCCGCTAAATGACTCTACAGGAAAGAAAAGCAGAAAATCATATAAAAACCCATGAATGGGCTCGGAAGCCTTCTGATCGTGTTTTTCGGACCTGCACGTATGCAGCAAAGCCACTGCCTGCCGCATCTGGCTCATTGATCTTTCCCGCATCGGTCTTATCCAATACTTCTGTAGGAAAGAAACCTTTGTGATGAAAGGTTCGAGTTTGGGGATGGGGAACAACTAGTCAGGCCTCAGAACTGCCATTGTGAGGGCTGCAGCGCCCTCGTTAATTACTGTGAAGCAGCGAAAGGGGACACATAGAGACTGATTAGACTACTTGAAGAGGAAGGGACGCTGACGAATTGCTGGAGCACGGATACTGTCTTCGAGAACAGACTGTACGCTGATCTGTGAGAGTTCTTCTCGTGGATCAGATGAGTGGGTCATCAGTGCGTCAGGGTATCGTCCGCATCTTTAGCAGGAGGTGTGTGTAAAGATGCCTACCCTCCATCTTCACGCAGAACTGCGCTTTCGCTTGGTAAAAGGAAATGGTTCTACGAATGAAAGTGTGATTACATAAACTACGCCTATCAGGGAGCAGCCAGGCTGCTATTGATACCGGAAAACGCGCGATGCAATCATCATGCTCCAATATTCACGTTTACGGCCACCCCGGTGTTTGCCAACACGTACTTGCAGGTTATCGACTATCAATAAAGGCGCGAGGCTAGATACATCTCACATTCTGGACGAGATTTCTGCCAAAACTAGTGGG